TGAAGGTCCTCAAGAATGAAGGCCTCCACGACTGAGCATCCCCGTCCGTGGGCCAACTTCCCTTCGTCCCCTGAGGTTTCGGAAGACCTGAATGTGGTGTATAGTGATGAGGAATGCTTTGCTGATAATGCAGGAGGCCCTCCAGCGTCGATAGTTTAAATCAAAGGCCGGATCTGAATTGCCTTTGAGTCTGCAGAACAGGTGTGTCACAGAGTTTTGGTCGGGATCCTGCTTCAGCAAACTTTCTTCTACTATTCGACGTCATCATTCAATAAGAAGCCGAGCCTGCAGTACCTAACTGATCACATGATGGTATGAGATAAGGCCTGGAGTTTAGAGTTGCAGACACCCGATTCGAGATTGGACAGTTGTTTAATGCTGCATTGACAGCGCCACAGGGGCCACCTACGGTCGATAGATATTCAACCCTTTCTCTATGCCTTCCGCGACATCAACACACCGCCGGTTCATTTGCACTTCGTCACCACCAAAATCGTCGGCCTTGACCCACCTATTTCAATATGAATACTCACGCTAAGTATGAAATCCACCTCTTTGCCCCAGATACCTCAAGAGTACTCCAAGGCTAGTAAGCCCACCATATGTTCGTTCATAGGCAAAAAAGTTAATGATACCTGCAGGACATTATGACGAGCAAGAGACAAAAGTAATGGACGATCTGGGAATCGAACCCAGGACCTACCGCATGCTAAGCGGTCATTATACCACTAAACCAATCGCCCATGGTATGATCTAGCCCGGACTTGAACCGGAGACCTTCAGTGTGGCAGACGGGAGAATGGATCTCTCGAACTGTTAGACTGACGTGATAACCAACTACACCACCAGACCTTGTTGAAGCAGCTGCCGGAATTTGCAAATATGCATGCAGCAGCAGAAAGTTGTGTGCGTGGGAGGTGTGATGGGAGTGTGGTGGAGATTTGTGAAGCGAAAGTAGATGCAGAGGGCGGGCCGAGATGCAGGGTGGCATCCAATGGTCGACTGCCGTTGATTTGGCGTGGACATGGGTCCATGAGTGGGAATGGGGACTGCAGGGGGATAATGGAACCGAGAAAACAACATTCGCGTCTTGTTGTAAGATGCTTTTCTGGAGCTTTGCTATCGCTATGAGTATCAAGGAACACGATAGTTAGGATCGCAAAGCTCGCCATGGCAACAAGCTAGTGATCCAATATTCTCAGGCAGATGCCATTCTCAAATCTTGAAGAACGTTGTCATGAGTGAGTGAATAACTGTCTAACGGCAACAAGAACAGGCCCTAGCTGTAGGCTCTGGCCAATGATCGCGTCCGAAAGAACCCAATCGCGACCTGACGAGCCCAGAGGCATCATCAACCGCGTCAGTCGCGACTCGAGAGTGGCAGAAAGGGATGCGAACAATAAGAATAAGGAACGCCGCCAAACACGCGAGACGGTCGCAGGCCTGGCCGAGAATTGTTTGGGACGACCGCGGCTGGGACGGGAACGATTGGCTGAACGCGCGGGTGCGGAGCGCGGGGCGGGCGGGGCCGGTAAAGGTGGGTCTAAAGGCGGGGGTGAGCTTCAGCCGCTAGTCTTAAATAGGAAGTGTGTAAACAATAGCTCCATCCGGGCATCAACAACATGCTCATCGATTATCAGGTATGAAAGGAAGGGAGTGGATTGGCATACGAGACACACGATACAGAGTTCAACGATACCTTGATCTTATTGAAGAGAGTGTTCATTCGTAATTATCCCCAAGTCTTGTTCTGGCACAGGAACATCGCGACTTTGCCTGCTTCCATGCGCATTCACCCCCTCCTCTAAACCCGTATTATCAGAGTACTCTGTGCTCAACCACCCGAGGACGTCCAGCTACTTCACCATGACCAACGACGACCTGCCCATCGCGTTACGGCGCACACGCCGGAGCATGCCCGCACCCGCTCATGAGCCTTCACCAGCTCCAGCACAATCCCAAACACCACGCAAAGCACCAAAACGCCGAGTCCGCTTCTCAGACCCAGGGCCATCAGGATCAACAACACCACGAACCACCCGCACCCTCTCAACAGGTCTCACACCAATGATCAACCGCACATCTCTATCCCGAGGAGGAGTAGCACCCACCCCATCATCATCATCCTCCTCACGCCGTCGTCACTCCATGCCAAACGCACCCTCCGGCGCAGCAACAGACCTGCCCCCAAGCGGCGAAGTTCACTTCCTCCCCCTCCGCCAAGTACTCTCAGGCCGCGTCCAGCGCCGCATTCGCCGCAACGGCCTCAGCGAGGAAATGAACACCATCACAGCCGAGAAGCGCGCCAGCGCAAAGCAAGCAAAGGAACAGCTTCAGACTCTCCGCGACCAACTGCGTCAAAAGGACGCGGAAATCTACGAGCTGCAGAATGCTACTATTATCCTCGACACAGAGCGTATCTGGGCTCTTGAGAAGGAGGTCGATGACCTCAGGAGCCAGCTGGCGGACAGGTCTTCGGCGTCAGCGAGGCAGAAGAGCTGCTTTGACTGGACGCTCGCGGCGCGGGACCCGTTCGCCGACGACTTTATGGAGACGGATACCGTCGAGGCGGAGTCGGTGTGCGGGGAGAGGGTGCAGTATGCCGATGAGACGGTGTTTGGGGAGGCGACGATGGCGGAGATGGAGTGTAGTACGCCCACCCGGGTGAGATCTTCGTTCCTGACCCCGCCGCTGACGAGTCCTGTTGCGGCTGGGCCTGCTACGCCTTCTTCGCTTCGGGGGAAGCAGAGAGTGGTGGTTTCAGCGCCGTCGGACACTGGTGTGCAAGCGAACCTCCCTGATCCTGAAAAGCAGCGGCTCGAAGAGGAGTTGGCTTCCTTAAGACAAGAGATGTCGAAGCTCACCGGCACGTTGGATTCGTACTCTGCTCTCACCGAGCGACTATCCCAGAAGCTTTCCGCCGTTCCGCCGGAAGACACAGCGTCGGATTACTCCATCGCTACAATCGAGACGCAAATCGCGAGCCTCCTACGCACGATTTCTGACCGCACCGCCGCGCTGCAGGACCTCAACGGATCCCTCTGCGCCCTAGGCTTCCCTGGCTCCGACGGCGCCGAGATCGTGACTTCCCTCTCCGCCGCGTTGCGTACCGCCCGCCTGGAGCTTGAGTACCTCACCCCAGGCGAAATAACCCTCCCCCTCTCCTCCCGCGGCGCAGAGGTTCTTGACCTTCTCCTCACGCGCCTACGCGACCTCGCGAAACGCGCAAAGGAGGATGAGGCGTCGATAGACGAGTACCACGAGCTAGAGCTCTCCCTCCGCCAACAACTGGGTGCGCGGGTCGCCGTGATGGGTGAACTCGAAAGCGAGCTCAAACGAGCGAGGGAGGGACTTAAAGAAAAGGAGGGCCGCGTGAGCGAGCTTGAAGTCAGCGTCGAGAGGCTCAAGGGCGCGGTGGCGGGGTACGTGCGTGACATCAGCGAGTTAGAAGGCGTCGTAGGCAAGATGGAAAGCGAGAACCGCGACGCCATGGCGACCAAGGACGCGCAAGTTGAGGTTGGGAGACGGGTTCTGCGCGCCAAGGAAGACGTCATAGCGAAGCTGGAGACGAAGCTCGCAGACGCCGTGGCGCAGGGCCGGTCGTTGCGGAAGAGGCTTACTGAGGCGGAGGAAGCGAGGACGAAGGAGGTTGCGGAGGTGACGAGGCGAGGTGGTGCGGCGCTGGCCGTAAGGGATGCGAGAGTGAGGGAGTTGAGGGAGGAGTTGGAGAGGGTGAATGCTGGGTTGAGGGCTGCGCATGAGGGGATCAAAGATTTGAGGGTTGAGAAGAGGGGGTTGGAGGGGGAGATGGTGAGAGAGAGGGAGGCGGCGAAGGGGGTTATTGAGGGGATGAGGGGAGAGCTGGAGAGGGTTGTTGGGATGAGCCGGGAGTTTCTGGGACCCGGGGCGGAGGATGAGGCCGGAGCGGATGGTGCGGGGCCGGATAATGGAACCATCGGCGGGTCCGAGTCCGGGGCGAAGAGGGGCCTGCTTGCGGGGGATTTGGCGCGGCGGTCATCGGGGAGAAAGAGGAGAAGGTATGACAGCGGGCTGGGATTCTTGGAAGAGGATGAGGTCGATGCATGAAGTTAGCTGTGCGAGCTATGGATTGAGGCATTGCATGCGTGTATGGCGCTTGAGAACCACTCACACAAGATTTAGAGGAGGGCGTTTTGGCGCATGTTCCACTCGTTTGCCGGTAGTCGCGGCGGTTTTCTTTTGTCGGTTGTAGATTTATCTTTGCTTTCGCCAGGTTTGGGTAGACAAACGGGCGGGGCGTTGGAATGCAACGGGATTGAAATTCATCTCTTAGCTCGACGCATGCGCATACACGTGAGCCACTTTCGCTGAACACAGCTTTAAGCTTGCTTTAGCCTGGCAACATTTCAAGCTGACTCGAATGGAATAATTGTTACTGAATGTTAAGGAGTGCCGTTACGCTTCTTTATCGACTTCAGGTCATATCACGTTGCTCAATTGAGGGCATATAAGGTAGTCATAGATGTATTATCGTCTACTAAGGTACTAGGCATCTCTTCATTATCACCTTGATTACCTTACTTCAGAAGATCTACTACTTCGATGAACGCTTTAAATACAGTTAAGAGTGACTGACGTGATTCAATATCTTTGCTATCCGCATTCATTCTCATGAACAGGCCGCATCCGCATCATTCCACAGTCAACTCCAAAAAACCCCCACCAACTGCCGCACCCACCGACAACAACATCGCATTATCACATCTTCACGAGAGGTAACACGAAAACGGCCGCATGCGTGCAACACCAGCCCGCAATCCGCCAACATGTCCTACACGAATATCAAAAAACAGGCCCTCCCAGCCCCTTTTTCTTTTCGCAATCCGTACCAGTTTCCATTTCTATCAAAAGATCTAATTTCCCGACAAAATTCCTGAATTCTTTCCACGTCTTCCTCACCAGCGTACCAAATCCATCCTCCTACCGATCGTCCAAACGCAAACCAACTCAATACCGCAGAAATGTTACCCCCCAAAGCAAAATTCGTCCGCGAATTCGAGCGCAACAACAGCCTCACACGCAAATCCACATCCACATCCACAACCCCATCCTCCAAAATCTTCACCCACAACCTAAACTACACCTTCGCGGCCCCCTCAGTCCCGGACATGACCTACTTCGCCCGCATCCTGCACTACCAACGCTACGGCCACGACGGCCTCGCCTGCTCCGGCGTGTGCTCGAGTAATTTCACGCTGCCCATGTACGAGAAGCAGGGGTACATGTGGCCTTACCAAGTACGATACACGGAGCGTCCCGGCTCGCGGGGCTCGCTGAAGAGTGATAAGTCCTTTGATGTCGCGGGATACCGGCGGGAGCTGGCGGCTGCGGGGGTGAGGAAGAGAAAGTGGAATACGTTTTGGGCTGTTATTCTTGCGTTGTTGATTATTTTCTTCGGGGCGGGTGTTTTGGCGTTTGTTTTATTGTCGATTCATTTGGGATGACTGAAGCTCCGCATTAGTTTTGCGACGCAAATATTTGGGTTTGAGGCGAGCATCTGTTATGTTTTTAGTTGAAGGTTCTCAAAAGTTTTACTTGGTGTATAGCAAGCGCTGCGTGTCTCTCAACGAACAGAAACTCCAATGAGTTCCCGGTCTATTAATTAGGGAGTTGGAGTTTCTGGCAGGCTTGCTTCATTGTATTAATCGATTGATTTTGCGTACGCTTGTTTTTGACATCTTTAGTGGCTCTATGTTTGACATCTTTCAAGCCCCTACGCCCTTGCTGACTAAAAGTTTGTCGATAGTGCCCCTCCACCCCGCTTTTCCAAACCATCACGGCCAAGACTTCGACATCGCTCTGCGAAGGGTTCTCAGTCTAAGTGCCTATAAAGCCCAATCATTCACTCACCTTACCTTGGATACATCAAAGCCAATCAAACCATAACATAAAACTTCAAAATGACGACCTCTGTCGGTGAAACCTCCCTTCAGACCCTCCTCTCAACCCTTACCACCGTCCTTCACCCGGAAACCTACGTCTTCGTCACCCTTCCTGCGGAAGCCCCACTACCGCCCCTCTCTGAGATTCAACTACTGTTTAGAGAGTCCGAAGGCGTCACCCTCATCACCACTCTCGATACCGCGACAGCCCATAAGTGGGATTATGCGTTCCCCTCAAAGATGATTACCCTCAACGTGCACTCAAGCCTCGAGGCTGTGGGATTCATGGCTGTTATTGCGACGAGGTTGGCCACTAAGGGGATGGGCGTAAACCCTGTGAGCGGGTATTATCATGATCACTTATTTGTCCCTGTCGGCAGGGAGGAGGAAGCTGTGGCAGAGTTGAAGGAGCTCGCATTGGAGTCTGGAAAGGAGATCTAGTAGCTACAAATCAAAATAATCGTTGTCGTGGTCGGCAAGAGGTCTATGCTTCAACGCGAACACGGGCAAGCAGCACACCCCAGCGATGTCTCTGAGCAGCTTATGTCTGAGAGAAACCTCAAATGAACGCTGCAGTTAATTGTATCGGGAATACGCCTGCGGCCCCTTCGTCGACAATTTAGACATCAAGGGTCTGCCACATTTTGGGGTACATACCTCAAGTCAAACGATGAACGAAGCTAAGGCTTCCAAGACAGGGGTCACAACAAGCTGAATGACAGGGTGCCAGCGCTTCAGTACGAAGTATCCTCGTTCAGCAGCTCCAGCTCTCGACACCATATTCCACTTTACCTGCGTGATCTCCTGCCGACAGTTGAAGAAACGTCTTGCAGTCTCTTGTATCGCTCCAAGGTGACCTTTACACTGGCTGACCCCACGCTGCGGGACGACGTGCCAAGGAAACAGAGATAGGCGGCAAGGCGGTATTGGTATTGGTCCAGGCTAGGCTGTCTGAGAGAAGCTTAGCTTGAACATGGGGTACTGCAGGTCTAACTCCAGAGGCGGACTATCAGCGTATCAATCCGCTCATTCTTGCCGCCGCCTTTCAGCTTGCCGCGATCATGCAGGGTTCAGAAAACAAGCGGGAAGATTAACCAAAGAGATGCAACCTAGCAAGTCAACTAAATCATATGATAACATTGATCAAGTGCACTGGCTCCCCCATAGCTCCCGAGCAGCCAGACTTAGCTTTGCTAATTCACTAGCTCACCACCTTCTTCTCTTGATCCCGACTTGGATCTCCTTCACTTCTGAGACCTTTCTCTTTGACATCTTATGACGATTAGCGAGTCTTCACTTTCCATACTGATCCCACATGGAGCGATCGGAGCCTAGGCTTCCAAAGTCTCGGACCAAGCAGTCTAAATCCAAACCTGCGCCATTTACAAACTTTTACACGCCTGAAAACTCAGATTTCTACGCCAAGTTTAAGTATCGACCTTTGGACAAGAAATATGAAGAAATTCGACTTCTCGATGTTGATCTCACTGGGGGCAACGAGCACCGCATGATCCATTCGATTTCTGTAGCCAAAGCCGGAAAATATTGCGCCATCTCGTATTACTCGGGCAACCCCAAGGACACAGTGCCGGTCTGGATCGAGGGCATAAAGATGAACATATTCTCCAATCTCGCCAAAGGAATCGAGAACGCTGCCAGCTTCTGGAAGAAAGGATCACCGAACCAGCCCCTGCGACTCTGGGTCGACCAGATTTGCATCAATCAGAGCAATTTACCAGAAAAGTCGCACCAAGTCAACTTTATGCGCGAGATCTACCGGAACGCTACACATGTATACGTGTCAATGCCAGTGAAAAAGAACCTTCGTCCCGTTTTCGAATGGCTGACGGGTCTTGCGGCGGCGAGGACGACGAAGGGGTACGAGCCATCATCAAACATGCTTTACGAGAACCCGCCACCAGAGCCAAACCTCTCAGGAAGATGGAGAGATAGGGTAAATCCAGAATGGCCAGCAGATTCCTGGGAAGACATTTACCGTGTGATCAATCATTCTTGGTGGAGCCGCTCGTGGGTTTATCAGGAATTCATTGTCGCCTCGGATGTCTTCTTCCTATTTTGTGACGAGGTATCCATGCCATGGAACCAGCTCCATCCTATCCTGTCTCTTTTCATGGAACTGGACACCGTCAACGCATGCAAGGAGTCGCTGCAAAAACGGTATCAGGCTGATGAAACCATGCATCGGTACAGAATCTTTGCCAGCATCAAGCCCATGAAAGACCATCTTCGCAACGTATTGAGGGCAGCCTGTGATTGCTGTCCTATCTGCTTCTATGATGATCGATTCTCTGGTAAACCCTGGAATGTGTTCCGCTGTCACGTCTCCTCATGCGTTTGCACAGCCCATGTACTAAAAGCTGCGGCGTACGCTGTACCTTGGACCCTCGGCTGTTGCTTTTTTCGCTACCCTTGCTGTCCCGGGTATGAGGCAAGGACGACGCAAAAGTTGAGAAGTAGAACAAGTTTAGTAGGAATGGATTACCATGTCCAGCGACTAAGGACAACGAACGCTAGTCGAGTACTCGTCAACAGGGTAATCGAGGGTAGAGAGCTTTGGGAAAGGCAAAAGCATCAGATCAACCTGTCTTATCTGCTTCAGCACGCACGAAACACCGAGACTTCACAGCCAAAAGACAAGTTCTATGCCTTTGTCGGACTGGCCAACCTCGAGAACGAGGTGCCAATCCGGTACGAGCCAAGTTACAGCATCCAGGCGGTGCTCATCGACGTAGCTCGTGCGATTGTGGTGCACGAGGACGCGGGCCTCGATATCTTGGCACAAGCAGGTACGGCGGCACACCGTCGAGACCTTCCCGAAGGCAAAGATTCACTCCCGTCATGGGTTCCAGACTGGGATAAGCAGGAGGATATCGAGAGGCAAAAGTTCATCGACGCCTTGGAGCTACCGTCCGCATGCAGCGCAGGCACAAGTCAGAGCTCCAAAGCCACTCTGGACTTTTTGGAAGACAGACACGGGAATGAGAGGAGAGTGCTCGTCGCTGCGGGAACCCAGGTTGATATTCTCGGAAGCGCCATCGACAGAGGCCATGACGGATTCCTACCTTGGAAGTCCTTTTCAAGCTCGGACGGCCAAAGAGTGATTACAACGACGAGTATTGCGCACTTTGGGGATGAGGTCTGGGTTCTTGACGGCATGAGCTGGCCGGTCGTTTTACGAAGAAGTTCGGCTGACAATTCCACTACGCTCCTTGCCATCGCTATGGTGCGTGAGAATGGTCAGCCTCATCAGCTCATGTTCGGAGACAAGAGCCTTTCACGAAAGGAGGATAGAGTGGTCATAGCCTGAGGACTAAGAATCATTTTGGTTGGAAGTGAGCTACCTGGTTGTATGTGTGGACAGGTTGGAATATACAGAAACTCTAATACGACTTCATGTTCAATGGGCCTGTTTCCATCCCATAAAGATTATTCGAAAGTTGAGCCTTAATTTTCCAGCTGCGACTGCGCATCGTTCTCTATTTGCAGGACGCTACCACGTCACTCAGTTGCGGCCATACCATCCACCATCCTAAGCTTTTGCGACCTAGCTTCATCAAGTGGTGTCATTCTAGAACGGGAAGTCCTCGATGACAGGGTCCAAGTAAGGATCTGGGCCAAAAGATGCCGGGTCAAAGGTAGCCCATTCAAACAGGTCCTGCTCAGATTGTGCAGCCGAAAATGTGTTTTTCGGTGGATATACATCAGATTGACACTTTGAAAGTGTAGTATCAGAAGATTTTGGACCATCATAGGCCGCAGTACTGAAGACATCTCCGTTGTAGGGTTGTGTCTGAACATTGGGAGTTAAGTTCGGGGAATGAAATCTCTCGAGAAGCGTGTTTTCCACCGATTCAGTCTTCTTCGACTCTTCATTGCTGTCGAAGAGCATAGAAAATTCGTACTGTCGAGAAAGAGAAGCCTGGGCTTCCCTAACAATTCCCACAAGTTGGCTCGTCATTTCGTCTCCCAAAAATCCCATTTTGTCGAGTTCGCGTCGAACAGCCTGAGGAAGTTCTCTATCCAAGAACTCAGAGTATCTTTCAACTGCCGGATCTTTCCGTTTTGCATGACTCTCCGGTTCTTCATGGTCTGCGTCATGTCAGTTACAGTGACGGATAAATCAAATTGAGACGACTCACAAGGACTAGATATTTCCCGGGCGCCTGGAAATAGTGTCGAGTACATTTCTCTCCACTTTTCAGCTTCATTCGTCTTCATGGACCTTTGCTGTAGCCGTTGTTTCTGATTCTTATTGAGCCATTCGATCTCAGGAGACTCTTCTCTGATGACGCAAATATTCTTTGCTTTCAAATGTTCAACTTGATCCATTATCGAATCGAATGGTTCCCGGCATCGAGGGCAGGTTAAGAGAGGCGCCGCATGACACCTGTAAATGTGCTCCCTTGATGAAGGATTAGCGTGATTTGACACTTGCGATTGGACCTACACGCGCTTACTTCAAATGATTCACCGTGGGCCATACAGACTCAGAGCAGCTCCGCCATTTTGACGAGCAGAAAGTCTGGGGAAACCTTGTATAGTAGGGACATGGAAGTTTAGGTTCCTCCTTAGGTAAGCCTCTACCTACGTTCCTTTCGTTGAGCGACAAATTGAATCTTTTGTTGAATCTGGGTGCATTCAACTGCGCTGAAATGTGTTCGGGTTGGGGTTGTGCGATGACTTCTTCGTCCATGAATGGCGAAGATGGAGTGGGTAAGTAAGGAAATATCATTTTCCATAGTTCAAACCATTGCTCTTCTTTAGATGAACCTCTTTTGGCTCTCCAAGAAAGAAGTACTCGTTCCTGGGCTGAATCAATTCCTTCAAGTTCAGGTCTTGGCGAGCCATCGGGCATGCATGGCGTTTGGCTCTTGTGAACTGTTAAAAGATCGATGCTGTCGAAGATTTCCCAACAGTACGTACAGTGAGGTGGCTGTACGTGACGTCGAAGTATATGCTGCTTGACGTATCTGGTCTCCGAGAGTGTAGCACTGTAACACGACCGATGCTTGCTCGGATCCAGTTTCCAGAAAGGACAGGCAAATTGAAGTTTCGTGCTCTCAAACTTTGCTCTCTTTTTCGTGGAGGCTCTGGGTTCTTCATCATCGTCGTCAGAGCCGTCTTCGTTGCAGGTTGATCTCTTGCTTAGTCTTGCTTTGCGGACAGATGGCCTTGCCCTCATGGATGGAGAAAGCCCTGAAGCTTGGCTGCTTGAAGTAACGGCTGATGTCTCTGGGCTTGTTGAGACATGGCCTACGATGCGTGTCTTCTTGAGAGAAGAAATGCCAGAGTCTGCGAGACAGGATAGCCTGGGGCACTGCAATCGGAGGGATCTGCGGAACTGTTAACACCTTGTTCACCATCTGTCAGAAAATGGGAGTCACCTGAGAAACGCCGTGAGGGCAGAAAGGCGCGCCGATAAGTCACATGACTCAATCCACGTGCTTTGCTCAACTTTGCCCAACGGAGAGGTGGAAAGTGTATCCAGTGCCATTTGGCTGTTGTACTGGGGGTTAGCGAGCTGATCGCGCCGATACAATGTGCGTTGAAGGTTGACTCTGCGGTCTTCACTAGGCTGTCGTCCTTGATCTATGGCCCTATCAATCATCATGCCGGCTAGGAATGGGATAGCCATGTTTGACCAGGTGCAGAACAGAGCCGTGATGAAGGGGCTAGACTAGTAGCTGTTAAGAGTGGCGCCAGCAGCTTTGAGCCGAGAGAGCTTGCTTTGGTGACCGGCAAAGCAATGCCTTAGGTTCGAGTATCCATGAGGAAGCGGAATCAGCCTCGGGTAGCACTTTCTTGAGACTTGGAGAAGAGGGTAGGCGAGAAATTACGTAGAGCACATCAATGATGGGCTATTAGACGAGGCCTCTGATTGACTATGAGAAACCTAGCACACTCACGGATGACGAAGAAAGAGGGGAAGTCAAAGTATTAGGAAAACTGGGCTACCCGAAAGAGATCGGGGAGCGGTAAGCCGCGGGTTGGGTTGTAGTGTGGCGTATATCGAGGGAATATCACTGGGCGAAGTGTCGTCAGCCTCGGCCAATCACAAGATGATGTCTTTTCCCACCGTATGCATGGCTTGCAGTCTGACACTCAATATACATGGAGAGAACCAAGTAATCCTTTGGACTAAGACATGTTAATGCTGCACATCGTAAACCGGTGAGTGGCAGGGTAATAAGACGCCCCTACCCCCTTGATCGATTCGTCCACCGAGTCCATCCAGACACAGTATCGTGTAACAAGTCCAAGCTCGGTTGAGTAGCCCCTCGTCTCTTTAGCTTAGACATCTCGGAATTGTGCAGGGTGGCGCAGGCTGGTGGCCTCTCTGAGAAGCGATTGGGGATGATGGCGGGTTGAGGACTTATTGTGCTGCCATGCCAATCGCCAAACTGGACCAACAATGCCGTCGGCTGTGATGCCGGGCCAATTGTTGAGCTGAAAAAGGGGCATAGTTGGTGACGAGGGCACAGCGAATCCATAAGCGGTGGAACCAGGGGGCATCGGATAGGAGAGAGACACCGATGACCTGCACCAGCCCGGAATTCGAAAGAGGAGGGGGCCCAGACGAATGTCGTCGATCGAGTTGAAGTGCTGCCCGAGAATTTGGGGGTCTCTTGGACTCCCCTCCTCGCAAGTTTGATATATGTTGCTTCGTCGCTCCCTCTTTCTCGCACTCCGTGTTCCTCACTGACAATATTCCATCCATCGCCAATGATCCCTCGAACGACAGATCTTTGACTCGTTTGGGACGTGATTGCAACGTTTTCAAATCGTGAAGAATCAAAGCCTTAGGTTAGTGTTGTGTCCTCGTTCCTTTCTTGTCAGACATTATCGACGTCCCATGTTTTGGGCCGAAGCTGGAAGATGCCGAGTGGTGCAGACAAAGCGGGCTAAAGCTGTGATGATGGACCAAGTCCCATATACGGACGAGGTTATCATGCGGAACACGAGCCAGAACGGTGTTCCAACTCAACAAGCATCGCTGGATGATAGAGATGCCACAGTACTTCGATCAAGCTCTGGAGATTACGGCATGACGTAGAAGTGATGAAGCTGATGATGATACACTAGTAACATCCACAATCATCGACTTCAACGGCTCGGTTCCCAATAACTGCATAAATAAAAGCTTTAGCAGAATACCCATGCCCGCCTTCTTGAGAGGCGCCGGCGCCAACTTGGACGCATGCCGTAGAGGATTGCGAAGAAACCCTAATCGACTGTACCGTCGCGTCTTTGGACGAGATGGTTCTCCTCAGCGGGATGAGGATGTTCAGCAGAGAGGTCGCGTCGCCAACCCACTCGTCGTCCTCGTCGTGGAAATTCTCGCGACCGACTTCTCCGTATGTAAAGCCACGGCTGCCCAACTCGCTTTCGGCTTTGTGTACGGCGTTTCAATAAGCACCCTCCATCTGCCTATGGATTGTCGAACTCGCTTGAGAACGGTCCTCACACTAGCGGGCGTGGTGCCCGCGGCAGTATACCTGTTCCCTGGCGACCCGACGCTGCACGTTGTACCTATGATCATTGTCTCCGCTGCGGCGGGGACTCAGATGCAATACTGTCTTCATGTTCGGAATCGCCAGAGGACCTTCGATTCGGTCCTGCGACCTCAGAGCTCGGTGGAATGTATCTTGGTGGCTTGGTTGATTGCCGTTGGAGGCAACGCTAAACGAGTCAGCCACTTTATCCAAGCCGGTGCGGTGCTTTTCTTCGATGTCCTCTCTTCGTCGATCGCCACCAGGTCTTTGACGACATTCTTTCTTCGAGTGGTCTTGGTGACATTGGCGTTGGCATCCTTGGTACAGGTAGGTTTACCACGCCAGGCTGAGACGCACATGGCTGACCGATGTCTAAGCAATTTGTGCCTGCCTCTACACCCAAGAATCTGGGGCGCCGAGGTGAGGTTGCAGGTTCTTCTCAAGGGCAGGAAGGTATGTAGCTACTCGTCACCACCTTATGTGCGTTCTTATTCCGGGTATTCTGATCGTTGAATTAGGTTGGCCCAGGGCTGAAGTCCTGGCGGTGATCGGCTTTTTTGTGACCCCGGGCATAGCCATGTTCTACAAGGATGTTAGAGAAGTGATAGTCCCTAGAGCGTACCGCTGGGTAGTTGGTAGACAGAGGGTACAGGAGGACGAGGAGAACTCTGGGGCAAATGGCTTTCTTCCTCTTGAGAACAATGAGCTTCCGGTGTGGGTCAATGTTGAAGAAGAGCTCCGTGCTGGGGTTGAGCAGTGGAAGGACTGAGGTTTGTGTTGTCGATTGCGCCGTAACTACTGTATCAACGGCCGCGGCCGAAATTCGATAAGGGGTCAAGGATCTTTGCGAAGGTTTGGTCTCGGTGTTACTGGAAGGGTTTCTTATGGGTCAGGCGTTTTATGGCAAAGAGAGTATAAACACACATTAATGGACGAGGCATAGAATAAAAACAGAAATTAAAATGGGCATTGAGAAAATGATATAGAGCGAGGTTGATTCGTGTAAGCCAGTGCAGGGCTTGTTCTATCGATGAATTGTGAGTGTGTGCTGGAAAAGATGAAGGATGAGAAAGATGTCAGGAAGCAGGCAGGGAGTTAGAAAGGGTCGGCAACAAATAACATTGAGTCCACACATATCTCGCAATCCGTCATGCCACGCATAGCCAGGCATCAAGACATCATCTTGAAGCACCTCCTCGAAGTAGATAGGCCAAATGTAGAGAGATCAGAGTGCGCGAAGCGCACAGTTGTGCGTTGAAAGCTGCGCGTGCAGAATGCGCACAGTTGTGCGTTGAGAGCTGCGCGCGCAGAATGCGCACAGTTGTGCGGTTGCTGTGCGCTAAAGGCGCTTCACCTTTGTGGATAGAGAGAACCCTGAGGGAGTAATTAGTGTCTTAGTTAAGGCAATCTAAATGCCGGTTGCTAGGATCAGTAGGACGATCTGGCACCACACCACCCCTTCGTGCAACTTGCCAACTGTGAAAAGCATTATGCGACGCGCGCTGTCTGCTATCTGGTACAGAGGGCACTGAAACCAGTGAAATCCTGTAGTTACCGTCAATCTCCAAAGGTAGCCAGAGGTTCTCCCCTCGCTCAAATGCCAACCTTAGTACCTTTGGAAGCCACGGAAATGGTGAGGCATGAAAAGGCACTACAGCACTGATGCAAACGGATATGGTGTGAAAGCCATGTGAGAGCTCCAGGGTGCCCCCAAATTAAGCTGGGACGGACCCCCGGAGCATCCCGACGGGTGAAGCCGCGTTCGGTTACTCCCGAAGCCGGAAGAACGTTTAGCGGCGAGAGGCGGACCGGAGCCGAAATGTGGGACAATGCCGGCCAGAACCCGGCAATGACCATCTCCTTTGGCTTTGAATCTTTTGCTGCTACTTTGTATACTAAAGACGAAGCTTGATCTAACATTTGTACTTGAGAACAGGCCTAGCCTTGGTGATCAATCTATCGTGAGCGACTTCCATGTTTCGCACTGCGAGATCGCGTTACTAACGCTGGACGCGTAAAGACAAATGTGGTTGCTATGATCTGTGATATTAATAACAGTGCTTTTCGATCATCTACACCAAACGTGGCTTTTCTATAGCTTTCCTTTATGAAATTCCTCGCAAAGCATTCTGCGTCATCTGAGCAGCAGAGACCTCATGGATAAAGTGCTTCTTCGACCCCAAGTGCTGCAACACAGAGCCATGGTACGTATACAGGCCACCCAGCAGCCGTATTGACGAAATACGCGTGTCATCTCTCGCGGGAACCCTCGCTGTAGCCCCCCAAGCTGTCATGATATCATAATCAACCACAGCATCGTCCTGAGTACTTGTCCAAGTAATCTCAGAAAGCCCACTGTCGACCTTGTAGCGAAAATTATCAACCTGCCCGAACCGGCCATTTCAAATCTCCATGAACTCAAGCTTCGGTATCCGGCGAGCCGCCAACGCAGCCAAGAAAAGCAGCGTCTTGGTCTTTGTCCGCCTGTCAATGGCTTCATCGCTGTCGCCGCCGTCGTCAAGAAAAATCTCGGCAGTCAGAGTGAGCGTCTTAAGTTTCGGGAAATTAGGTGCGTTGTTCAGGAAATCATCGGCATCGACGATGAAGCAGAGCGCCAAGTGTCCCACAAGAAGACAACCTTGCACCACGGAGCTCACTAATTCTTTTACTCTGACCCCTCTATGGAAAACGCGCGCAAAGTAGGGTGTGCTCGACGCTTCGTGTAAAATTGCAAACCTCTTCAGCGAATGTGGAATGGTACATGTCACTGAGAACTAGATGTTCATAAACCATTAGTCATTCCCCAAAATAAAGAAGAGTATCAGAGGTGGCATTCTTGAGGAAGGTATCCGACCTTGAAGTCAGCGTCTCTGTGCTACAACGCTGCGAAGCCGCCACCTCTCGAAATGATCCACCTTCAAGCGAGGAAGACTCTTGATGATTTGGTCCAACGAATCCGGGTACAGGTTGCGTATGTTTTCTCTCCTCATAAGAAACCTAATGACGATTTGTACGGGCAGTAACCGTACACGGGTAAGCTTGACATCGTACGAATAAAGGGCCATGATAACTTCGGAATGCATCGAGGTACTTTGACCTTGACACAAGTGGGCAATCCAGAGTAGGCTCGTGTAACTGAAAGGTTCAACCTCATCATACGACGCAAGAGATTCGGTCTCAAGATACTTCGAATAGTCATCGACGTCGCCCTTTGGCGTATAATTGTTGCATTTGATGAGCCCCGCCAGCGTATGAGAACTGATCTCGAGCGCCAACCCTTCTCCGGCCTGATCAACTTCCCATGACGCCAAGGTATTCCATAGATACAGCGCAGCTGTAGCAAATGGGCTCCATGATTGATTCCACGGTAAAGCCGGGCCATCCTCTTCGAGCTGAGGCTCCTCAAGGCGAAGCCAGATGTGCCGGACATAGCCGCGCCTCCTGGGGCTTTGTATGTGCTCCCTGAATGGAATGAGGTCTTGCAGCCGCAGAATGAAGTTCTTGTATATTAGACTCTCGAAGTAATCTTGCTAATCTTTGGGTACGCTGGCGTAGCCTGCTATGCCGCGACTGGGCGAGATCGGTGAGCCGTGGGCATTTGCGACATGCTTTAAGATCTGAAGATGCAACTCTCGCGTTAAAGACGCCCGACATGGCTTCGCGCCATTCATGTTTACCTTCCGTTTTGGGATAGGGCCCAGTGAGAGAGTGAGATGCTGTGTTTGGAACGGAATTGCTGGATGGGGAGAAGTTGGTAATGTTGCGAGTCCGCACTGTAGCCGCCGCAAGCCTGTGGGGCATCCCCGGCCTTGGCTATGCATGTTCGGTCGTAACATGCTGTTAGCATCCATCGACTCGTAGTAATTACTTACCAGTTCTTACCTACTTTGGAGTTAAAGCGACAATCGCAGCGCCTAGACCGCTAATCGTCGGCTGACATTGATTTTTACCTGCCAGCCGACGCAAGGAATAATTGTCAGGGATCCATTTCGAATCGCCTGTATGGCGAAAGCGAATACGATACGGGATAACGAACACGAAATACGAGGTATAGTTTAGCGAAGTGGATTCAAGTGGCTGATATCCTACAAGACGAGGGACTTGCATGGGTATTATTCTTGGGGTCTAGGGTTGGGAGTTAGACCATAGTATTGTTCAGGGTTGGAACACCGCGCGCGGCGTCTATAGCGCGCGGAAAACTATTCGGAAGCCTAACAATATATACATAAATTTTGCACCAACGCTTTCATAGCCAAGCTACCCGTATGTTACCCAGATATGTCTTTGCTAATGTGGATATAACTGGCGTTCTAGTCCTAGGGCTCGCTATTTTGTACATACAAGCCGAGTGTAGAGGTAGACCCATGTTCAGCGATGCACGCTGCTAATGTGTCGAGAATCCCAATCGTTATAATTCATAGGAGACATAGCCATGGAATTCCTTGGCAAAGTTCAAAGTGTTCTAAATACTGCGTTAGATGTTTCGAGGCTTTGCCGGTAACTTCGGGATTGTCTCTACAGTTGAGTACCTAGATAAGCAACGTTGATTTCCCGCTTTTAGCATTCATTATCACTTATCGACATTAGAGTCTCATTTGGATTTCCCTCATCATGAAGGCAAAACTTCCTTGCTTCGTTACTTACCTATCGGTACTTGTTTTTGGTGCTGTCTCCTCGACTGTGGCCCCAATAGGATGCCGGAAGCTGAGTACAGATCACGACTGGCCTGCTCCCGAGGTTTGGGAAGCCGCCATTCCAGGCGTCATCCAGCAGAATGGTAGTGACGCCCATGGCAGGCTTCCTGATTACCGTGTGCGAGCTGTGAACGCATCTGTTGTCCAGGCAGCAGTACAATTCGCTTCGAAGCATAACATTCGCCTTTCGGTCATCACCACCGGTCACGATCAGTTAGGCCGGAGCGATGCTGGATCTGGCCTTATTATTGACTTATCCCTCATGAACAAGGTCAACGTTCTCGACTCGTTTACTCCAACTATGGATGGTGCTGCCAGTCCTGAGTACTCTATCGACGCGCCGAATGTGATCAATCCCCAGCAGGGCGTGCAAGCTGCTGTCACATTTCAGCCTGGTGTTACCGGACTGGCTCTCAACTACGCAGTATCTCCCTCAGGACTCTTCACAGTCAGTGGTGCAGCCGGTAAGAAAGTTTCCCGTGGACAATGTTTTCTTGAGAACTAAGGCAATTGCAGCTGGGGTGGCTGTCTCCGGAGGATGGGGACAGAACGGCGGCTACGGCCCATTAACTGCGCAGTATGGTCTCGGGGTTGACCAGTGGCTTGAAGCAAAGATTGTGACTCCAGATGGGGAGCTCAGGATCGCAAACAGAGTGTGTAATCAAGACCTTTTCTGGGCCATTCGTGGAGGTGGCGGAGGGACCTTTGGTGTAGTTGTCGAAGCCACCTGGAAGGCACACGCTGATATTCCCATGACTGGGTACAATTGGTACATCAACTCGACGATCACAGGTTCGGATGTGTTCGACTCGAAGACCGGAAGTACGCCAGTCAGCGACGCCATGCAATATCTATTCGGAGAGTTGCCCAGACTACAAGAAAAGGGCATCAGCGCTTTTATTTACGTCGATGTTAGCTCCGTCAGGTGCTACGCCGTCCATCCCGGGAATGCCTCCGGAATCGCCAACGCTAATGCCGTCTGGGGACCAATCCTTTCCAAAATGCAATCATATCCCGACATGACGCCATTTCAAACTAAGCCTTACAACTTCGACAACTATAGGAACTTCTTCGATACGACATACGGACCTCTCATTCTCGAAACGGGTCCGAAACCCCAGCCAAGAAATCACGGAATATACCCATACGACAGCCGCCTCCTAGCCCCTGAGCATCTTCGAGATCCAAACATCATAAACGCGTTGAAGGGGGGCCTTGGGACTTATGGAGTACTCATGACTGCACCGGGTTCATCGCAAGGCTCTGGCGAAGACACCTCGGCGAATCCGGGGTGGAGGAGAGCGGTGGTTCACCTCGTTGATGGACCAAGCGCCAGCGGACTGCGAACCCTTGCTCCAGACATGGGTGCCTACATCAACGAGGTATGCTAAGTCCGACAACGGAGTGACTGTAACTAACTTTACTTGTGCAGGCAAGCGTCGCGGAGAAGAATTGGACCCAATCCTTTTGGGGTGTCAACTACGCCAGGCTGTCAATGATCAAGTCGAAATATGATCCGAACATGGTGTTCTGGCAAACTCCTGGGATAAATGCTCACTACATGCAGTCTATCGATGGACGAGCATGCTTAGTTCTCCCCCCACCTTTGACGCCATCTGAAGTTGCCCCTCCGAGTGATCGAGTTGTTCCTGCAGATCCCGTAGCAGACGCGCAGTTCCTCTTTGGCTCGTTGGAGTTGATTGGTGTCAACTACCCGGCTCCAGGTACCCAAATTGGCTTGCAGCCTGAGTCATCCTAATTTGACGTCGAAGACAGGCAGGCCATTCGGCCAATGATTGGGTCCTGAAAGAGGGACATGTGGTAAGCTTCTCGCCGCCAGAGGTTACTCGCTTCGTTTCGTAAAGTTCGGTGTTTGGGTAGAGGCGGATTGGAGACAGTAGTTGATGGTCAATGAGGATTGAGTAAGTAGGATTTTAGAGCAGCAACTCGTTCTTCTTCCTGTATCGTCCAAGTTTAAAGTGGCGTGAAAATCCAAAACTCGCCGTTCGCTATCGAGTTAATGTACTGATAAAGGCTTCATAGCGACTAGATGCCTATTCCATGCTACCTAAGCATAACATTGCTTCCTAGCCGTCCCACCAGGGTGCTTCGAGGCACCCGTTGCCACATCCCTCCTCCCGAGCTGCTGGATGAACACTGTGCCGAGACTGAAACCTCTTGGGCATCGGATCATGATATTCCGCAGACGCGACTGTGTTCAGTCGCGAGGCACATCATCTCCCGCTTGGTTGAGTCATCTGTGCCCCAGAAGTTATGGGAGGGAACGTGTTAGCTCAGCAAATCTACAACAGCAACGAGAAGGAACACTTCAAGCACGGAGGTGAACTTCTCTAGTGCACGAATACATAGACGACAATCTTACCGATCTCGCTTCGCACTGTTATGCATGTCATAGAACACTCACCTAGCTTTGTATGTCTGAGTTCTGGAGAAATAAGACAATGACCTGGCTGCATAGCCCGGGCTCTGGAGTTGACGAAACCTATGGCCTTAGATAACGGCAGACTGCCAATGTAGTAGAGTATCGCTATACACAGAGCCACCTCCAGACGGGATGAACAGTAGTGACATAATACGTATCCGTATTACAACTGATCAGATACACCCTTGCTCTTTATGTATGTACTATTGAGCTTTAAAATAAGTGTCAACTACCTATTTACAGAGAATGTATTAAGCTCCAGAACATTTTCGAAGAAGACGGAACCACACTTGACAAGCCCGAGCTTTTCATGAATACTGATTTGCTCGAAGCTCATAGCCTAGAAAGCAGCTTCGCTCCAGAACAGCTACTCATGGGTTCAAAGTATAAGTGATGTTGTTCCCAGGAACCCTCGGGTAAAACTCAAAAGTAAACGTTGTCGCCTTCCCAGCGGAAATAACAGCCTGAACCGTAGCAGACGGTAGGATGATGTTGCCGCCGTCAAAGTTCCACTGCCCGTTGAAAGTCTATTTTCAATGTCAGTACGTGCTCTTCTATAGCCCGACCCAAAGGAACCATGGTTTTCAGGATCCGTTTGGAAAGGATGACTTACGATATGAGCCTGCTGCAACGGTCCAAGATACTGCGTCCAGTCATCAAATAAGTAAACCCCATCACTCCGCAAAGCCTTAACAGCAGCAACCGTCTTGAGTCCCTTATAGGTGACGGGGATCTTCAAGTCGGCTCCCGCAACGGCCGTGGAGCTCGTCGCACTCGCCACCGGGACATCCCACTGCACAATTTCGACCTGCGACTTCGCTCCCGCGGAGAACGTCAAGGTCAGGTTAGCCTTGCTCCCCGGCGCAGCAGTGGCACTCAAATACTTTGACAAAAAGGCGGCCTTGAAGGTTATTGAGGATGCCGATGCGGTGTAATCCGTATTCGCAGCTAACGTGGTTCCAGTGTTGGTCTTCACCGATTGCAACGTGTTGCCGTTGAACAACCAGGGGAGAGTCTGATCCGCCGGCGCAGTGCCAACCTTGTTCCAGATGTATGCGGATGATGACTGCGTCGTGGCTGATGCATCTGTAGTGCTATCCGGCAAGGAATTCTTCACCCCCTTGACGGCGGTATTCAGAATGGCGAGCGAAGTCGGGTCTCGCCAGGCATGGGCACTGCGATCAAGGTGATCCAACCCATTATCCCAAATCACAACAGCAGTATTCAACTCCGCCGCCGTCCTCACAAACTGATCCGTCCACTTCCACCTTGCAGCAGGCTCAGTATTCAGCGGACTCGCGTCAAACTCCCCAATCACCAGCGGCACATCCGAGAAATTCCCCCTCACAATCGTCATCTCGTTTCTCATGGCAGCCTTATCCGCGTCCGAGCCCCAAATCGTCTTGCCCCACGCGGAGAAGATGAAGTCGTACGGGCTGTAGACGTGGTAATGCAGCACCCATGGGTTCTTGATGCTCGCGGGCGCCTTGAACCACTGCGTCGTCTTGGTGGCGTCCATGCCGCCGCCGACGAGGTTGACGACGCGGCGCGTGTTGAAGCCGCCGCTGTCGGCGAGGGCTTTGAGGAAGAGGTCGTTGAGGGTGTTTATGCGGGCGCCGTGGTCGGCTGTTGTGGCGGGGGGTTCGTTTATGGATTCGAAGGAGACGAGGTTGGGCTTGCAGGCGAGCTTGCGGCCGATTTGGAGCCAGAGATTGTAGAATTTGTCATTTAGGGTTTGAATGTCTGCATCTGAGGTCGCTTTTGTCACGTCGGCCCAATTCCAGGAGTCTATTCATGGCGTGGCGCGTCAGTTTGTTGATAGATGGATGGGACTGGGTGTTCTTACCGTGATGGACGTTTGTGAGAACGTAAAAGCCTCGGGCAGTGGCCATGTCAACTACATCCGAAACACGTTGCAACCATGCCGCGTCAACGGTGTAGTTGGGCGCTGCGCTGGTGAAGTGATCATTGTAGGTGACTGCCGTACCGTCAATATCGATGGTGACACATATTAGATATGGATATAGACTCACCCGGGATACGAACGCTCTTGAAACCGGCAGCCTTAACATCATCGAACGTCTTTTCGACAACAGGTGGGTTGTTCCAAGATCCCTCGTTAGGGAGAGCATCAAGAGTGTTGCCCAGGTTCCACCCCGGGGTCATAGCCTTGACATAATCCGCCCCAGAGATGTCGCTAAAAGAACCAGAACAAGCCGTGGGCGCTGCGCTGGCAGACGAAGATCTAACAGAGCTTGTTAACTGAGATGAGCTTGTCGCGCGTGAAGTTGTAGTTGTTCCAGCAGGGGGCTTCGAAGTTGACGTAAGAAGAGTGGTTGGCGAGGAGCCAGATCCCTCGAGACACTGTGAGTACCCTGGCACTGGAATTAGATGTTGTTCATGAGGGACCTGAGCAGAGACTTACACTCGTTTGCCTTTTCACAGTGCCATCCGGCTGTACATGTCGTCGGTCCCGTCCAGCCGCTACCACCGCATTGGCCGTACGGCGTTTGTTGGGCGGAGGTTGTCTGGGCCAGTGCCACTAGCACGGCGAGGCTGATGTCTGATCTCATCGCGAGAGATGAAGATATGGGGTTGTCACGCTCACAGAATCTCGAAAAAATCCACCCTCAGGATTGTCTCGAGGGAGCCTGGCTGGTTTTACATGAAATGCTGAAGCACTTGCCTCCCGTTCGCATTCAAACATACAAGAAAACCACTCATCATCACGGACCGAAATTGACTTACAAGGCCAGGCCAACTGCCAAAACACGCATCACTGCGCTTGGTGGAAAATCCCACGCGATCATGATCGCGATCTTAACGAATGGAATGAGCTGAAAGCTGCAATGGTGGCGGCGAAGAGAGCGGAAGTTGCTCCGAAACAAGAAGATGGAAGGTACGTGAGATGCAGAAAGGGCCCGTTTTCAGGATATGGGAGAAGGCCATTCTCTTTTGAGGGCGGAGTGTCGCTCTCAGAGTGCCCGAAGAGGAAATATCACGACACCAAGGAGGGTTGTATCACGTAGACTACCGCTGGCCGAAAGAGGCAACTTTGCTTGCTTGCCTCCGTTCTCCGACTTACCCCTCAATCAGAGGCCAGGGCCAGGGCTACGCAGATGGCAGTCGCCGGTCGGAGTCAATTTACGCTTGTTTCGAAGCGGGCGGGTATTGAGATGCTTAATTGGTTTGACGTGTTCAACCCTTGACCGTTGTCGCCTACTTACTTGATTCACAATATGGGGTCGGAGAGATTGAAGGGGCCCCGGATCTGGAAAGCTTGTTTCCTTTCTTCGGATCATCATGCTATTCGCTACTACGTATCTCCAAAAGGCAATGATTCGCCTAGGAGGGGAGGGGATATCTGCGAGCTGCTCGGTTTCTTCCGAGTCATGGAGTGCAGTTCGTTACCATTAGACGAATGCTCTCTGCAGCTCATGTTTCGTACATGGCTCCCGGCACGCTGATCGACCCGACTTGCCGGCCCCGCACCGAAAGCGCCGAGCCGTTGTGATCTGAGCACACAGCGGGCAGCTGTTCTCCTACCCTTTCTTCGGCCCTCATGAGCTGGCGCGATGAACACCTTATAGTCTGCCAACCTCAAGCCATCATGTTGACCCACGTCTTTGGGTAGAATCTGACGGCGCCTCGCGGGCTCGGCGTGATGCTCTCCCAGTAATCCCAAGAGATGGGTGTCCCAATATCGCTGGCAATCCTAAGGCCAGTGTATCGTAATAGGTGGTTGTTGAGTAGAGTTCCGGGCCGCTTCTATGGCCCAATTAATGAAACGCATAGGCATCGCTGTATCCTTCGCTTCGGAGACTTCGTCTGGTAGCTTTTTGATAATGTGATGCCGGCACTAATTTGGCCTGCACGCGGACGCCAAACCAGACTAGATTACAGTATGCACTTCTGTCTCGGAAGATATTTCCAACTCGCGGCAGTGTATGTTCTGAAATGGATTCATTCATCGCTTCGGCGGTCCCGGCGGGGGCGGATTCGTCGTTCCCCGGAACTGATTTTTCAGCTCCTCGATAAAATATTGCAAAAAGCCTCGGTCTTCAGGATTCGCTATAACTCAGCACGTCAGCTACCCTCTCTTCAACCAAGTCCCAGCGTGACTCTCAAGTTCGAACGTACCAGTCGCCTGTCCTTGGCGCAGCGGCTCATGCGGCATAGGCCCATTCCGCTTCTCGTCGACGTATCGGTGGATTCGACCGACGCCGCGGTGGAAGCCAGGACTTCGAAGGATCTGTAGATTGACATTCGAGGTTAGCTTGCTGCGTAGGGCGGGGAGGATGGAGGGCGTCGCATAC